AATAAACATGAACATCTCTGAAATGTACACATTTCTATCAAAGGGTTGTTGTTTGTTGTGTTTTTTTAAGACCATGTGTGCCAACATGAAATGCAGATTTGTGCTCAGGGGATGGTATAGTGTAGATTTACCAAGGTCTTTCTGAGCCACATGGAACATGGATGAAGAAACTGATGTGAAGTTAATGAGAACAGAAGTCAAAGGGGAGATTGTCTCATGGGTGAGATACGCTGGGTTATTGCTACTTTGTTGATTTTCAGACATTTGTTACAGATTCAGCGTATATTAGTGTTTTAAAAATCCAATGCTACAGTTTCACTGGACATGGAAAATTGATATTTTTTGAAATGGAAGTATGCATACTTACCTTTGAGTAAGCCTGCATGACTACAGAGGGCCTTTGTCTTATGTTCTTAAGTATTAGTACTACTAGTAATAATAATAATTTTAATACTTATACCCTATTCATCTGGCTGGGCTTCCCCAGCCACCCTGGAAGGCTTCCAGCACATATAAAAATATAAATACACATTACCATTGTAAGAGCCACCCTTCATAAGGCCATTAAGTCTAGCAGGAAACCCATAAGCAGTTAAGAATCCAAGATTACCAACTGCTCTATTAATTACCTAGGAGCTTCCATGGAGCAAGATATCTTCACCTGATTTTGGTTGGTTTTCTCCTCCAAGTATAGTCCTATACAGTCCCCACTGTTAAGAGGGGCTTCTTAGCCCTCTGGAGTGGTTTTTTGTGGGGTAGGAGAATGTGAAAAGAAAGATGAGTCTCACAACCATGGAGTCAACCAATGCCTTTATGTTGTCCTGTGATTACTGAATTAACATATAATGAAGTTGACCTTAGAAGGCCCAATGTTGAGTCCACTTTATAAACAATAGAAGCTTTTGTGGTTTTATTTTCACACCATGAAGGCTGCATTTACAAGACCCTTATTTCAGAACACAGAACTGAAAGCAGCGAGAAAGTAATTTTAGGACTGCAGTACTAATATCCACCATAATGCAACTTGTAAACATTCCTATTAAATATGTTCCCCTAAAATAGAAAGTGAGAAGGCAAAACATTTAAATAATGTAAAGATCTAAAACAATATGGCTGGTTGTCTTCCCTCTATGTGATTTAAAATTCAGCTGAGCCAAATAGATTGGGAGATTGAGATAATTAAATTCCTCAGTGAGGCGGGCATTGTATGCCAAATATGAGCCTAAAGCTAAAATTTCCTAGTGGCATTATAATCCCCAGAAAATACTGTGTTGCTTGTATATATGGCCATTTTTGCTATGCAATGAGCTCCCAAACTAAATTTTTGCCCTCTAATTTAATGAGGGAGTTTTGCTTCCAAATCACTTTTAAAGTCTTCCAGCTGCACATTCGCTTGGTTTATGATAGCTGCATTGCTTTTCAGTTCAATTAAATAAGAAAGAGGAAGGGAGAGAGAGGTAACTCAAACGTAAAATAGCAAAACGTTTTCTTCCTGGGAATCGTAAGCAAACTCTCTCCAAAACTGCAGAAATAGTCTTCCAGTTTCTTTTCCAGAATTCACAGGAAAGAGGAGCAAGAGTTATCATGGATTTAACTCATGAACTCTCATCACACAAACAAGATCTGTGGAAGGGAAATGGGGTTGGGCCAACAAGCACAGCACATGAAAGGTCAATTGAGTTTATGAAACCCTACAACTCCTGTGGGCCCAAAGGACGGTGAACAAACAGCTCCAAATACATGTCCACCCCAGAGGAAATAGGAGAGATTGCACTTTATTCATTCTTTATTTAACAGATTTTTGTCCCCTTTTTCTATGGGACCATATTCAAAGTCATTTTTAACTCTATCAGAATCATATCGCTGGCCAAGTAGACTGTTGACCCAATACTTGCGCTGACTTGAAGATATCACCTCACTGTTGAAAGTCATCCAGTGCTACAGGGATTTCCAGAGAGAAGCTTTATGAACTGTGCAGATGAACCACAGAAAAAACCATCTGCAATTCCACCATACTCCTCTTCTGATAATACCATTAGTCTACAACGACAGAGTTTGGCTTTGGTCTGATAACCCCCATGATCCTTTCCTCAAGGGTCCTACATGGTTGAGTATATTAAAGATACACATTTGCAGTAATTTGCTTCCTCCATCTATCTCATCTCCTCTGGGGGTATTTTATTTTCCTCCCCAATCTGAGACGTTGCTCACCCCCTTGTTACCACTCATCGCCTCGACCTATTTTCCCCATCCTTTCAGACATTTTATGCATGGTTGCTTGTTCTCAGGTCGTTTCTGACTCTGCCTGAAATCTCTTCTCCGCACAGTACTGCATTCCATTTCCCTTTTAAAACATTATAAATTCATCTCCACAACATTTCCTCTCAACCAGGAGCCAAAAAGAAGAGGGTGATGGGAGGAAGCAACATTGCAAGGAACAAGAGTGACAGGAAGAGGAACCAAAATGAGTTTGGCTCTTATTTGGACAAGTCATATAATTGATATTCATTACCAACCATCTTGCTTTTTTTCTCTACCTCTTGACATTTTTAGGTGTACACACAAGATCTTTTGATCGTCTCTGTTGCTCTGTTGATCGTCTCTGCCTTCATTTTCCCAACAATCCTTTAAGTGGAAATTTTTATCCTGTGTATATCCATATAGAATTTCAAATTGCTTCAATTGCAATATATGCAGTTGTTTTGTGGCTGTTTTTTTATTGTTGATGTGTTTCTTATTAACTTGCTTTCGATATTTCGCCCCTTTTATTAAACATCTCAAAGGGCAGAGCAAATTGGAATCTTCTGGTTTAACAGTTTATACCCTCCATTGTTTCTCCGATGAAAATAGGGGCATCCTAAGGAAAAGAGGAACATTCCAGGATCAAATCAGAAACCGGGACAGCTTCTGTAAATCCAGGACTGTCCTTGGAAAATAGGGACACTTGGAGGATCTGACAGTCTGATCCACCTGGTGCCTTCACTCACTTCCTTTCAATGCCTGGTTAAAAGCCTACCTTTTCCCTAGGCTTTTGATAAGCTATGATTATTATATTTTTGCTGTTAGTGAGCTGCCTAAGCTTCCTGGGCTGTTAAGGTGTGTGTGTGTGTGCTGAATTGCTTATGTTTCTATATGAATGTGTCAGTATTATAATGTATTTATGTTCATATTTTTAAATACGTTGTAAGCCACTGGGAGACCTTTGTATAACAAGCAGCTAATCAGTCTAATAAACAGCAACAAAAACATCATTTATTTTTCAGTACATATAATATGCTAGGCACTTTCTGTCTCCATTAGAGACAAGAAGGATGGAGAATGAAGTCAGAGGAAGGAAATGCTAAATGATCAGGAAACAGTCGCTGAAACAGGCAACATAATCTACCTAGCTGTGAAACTACCCCACAAATGCTCAAGTTTCATCATCCCTTCAGATAAAAGTTTAAAAACTTTTTTAAAAGCCCTGACTCTTGCAAATTTAAAGAAATTCAGGGGTTTTTTTGGGGGGGGGGTTCATTTGGGAACTTCATGAGATTGGCTAAAAAATTATATGTAGATAGCGCAGAAAAACCTGAAGTCTGTGAAGTCAATTTTGGTTTTTCTTGATTTCTCATTTTTTTCCACTCTTAAGCTTGGTTCACTCTGTTTTGATTTAAAAGAAGAAATCTGCATGAATATTCATATTCATTTTTATGCACATTTCACTTAATGTATGCATTTCTGTGCATAGTTTTGCATAGCAGCATTTTTATTCATATTCTTTGGTCAGAGAACCATGTCACAAAATTCAGAGAACGATAAAGATCTGTACTTCAGATCACATATTGCTTTAGGAGGTGCAAATATATAATGTCTGCATTGCAGTATGAATTAAATGAATTCTGCCTCCCACATCACTAGACCAGAATAGAAACTACTTATTGTTATGTGCATGTGTACAAACATTACCCAATAACGTCTCCTTTCTTGAAAAGCCGCTCCAGAAGGTGGAAGTTGCAACTGGAGAAATGATGGCAGGGGAGACTAAACGGCCTTTTTCTTACCTGAAATTTCCCCAGTGTAAATCACATCTCCCCCAAGCATCTTTTAACCTTATAGGGTTTCAGACACATGAACATTCCACACAACATCAAAGGGAAATCATTGGAGGGAGAGGAGTTTGAAAGATGGATGTGTTTGGTGGGGAAACGGTTAAGCCCCACATTACCCACTTCTGATTTTTGCTCTCCCAAATCCTAGAGTACAGGTTTGCACGTAAGGTGTACTTTGCCTCTGAAAAAGAATAGTATTTATCATCTCTCATTCATGTGTGGTGCATCCCAACTGTGCTGCATCAAAGGATATTGATTAAAATATATATTTCAGAGGCTGAGCAGAGTGCTGGAAATTAAATTCGTTCTTTTCATGAAGACAAATGATATTTTTAAATTCTTCTAATGAAGCAGCATTCATCAGAAGCTCATCTATCTTTTCAGAGCAAGTTTTTGTGTGTGGATAAAAAAGATTAATGCCTATGAACTTTCCAGCATTTGGATTTTGTGATGATTCAGCCCATCAGTGGCAGGTAAGAAAGCGTAGGCCAGAATCTGTTGTGCGTCTGCTCCTCTTACCCTTGCCATATATATATATATATATAAAAAGACTTCACGAATTAGCAGTGGGGGGAAATAATGCATGAATTCCTATGTGAATGTTTTAACTTAATTGGGAAGAGCAGAAATGCGATCATGAAGGTGATTAAGGGTGCAATCCTATACAGTGGTACCTGGGGCTACATACACTTCAGGTTACATACGCTTCAGGTTACAGACTCCACTAACCCAGAAATAGTACCTCAGGTTAAGAACTTTGCTTCAGGATGAGAACAGAAATCGTGCTCCGGCAGCGCGGCAGCAGCAGGAGGCCCCATTAGCTAAAGTGGTGCTTCAGGTTAAGAACAGTTTCAGGTTAAGAACGGACCTCTGGAACGAATTAAGTACTTAACCTGAGGTACCACTGTACTCACTTACTGGACGTAAGCCTCACTGAAAACTACGGGCCTTGCTTCAGAATAAACCTGTGCAGGATTGTGCTGTAAAGCTGGCAAGGAATTAACCAGTCGGCGTGTTTCTTTTAAGGATCTATCCTCAAGTTTGAAATTGTAAGATCCATTTAAGAGTTTGAGAGAATATAACTCTGAAAATGGCATTGATTCAGAGTTCATTTAACTGGAATGAGAGACAGTGCTTCTTCCCAGAATGTCACACTATCCAGCCAATACCCATTTGATCATTACTGGACACAGATTTCCATTATATCGCACATCGAGCTCATTTACACCTCCTTCCTTTTGTCATTCAGCTTAGTCCCCACCACCACCACCACCAAAAAAGAGATGTATTTTCTGCATCATTTTCTCCACGAGATCACAGATATGTCGTGTTCCATGCTTTGTTCCGAGTCTCAAGGTAGATAATAATTTGTCTTCAGTACTTTGCACCTGTTTCCAGCATTGCCGCTTCTTAGTATTGTGGCCTTCTTGGGTGGATTTCTCCTCTAATTATCACCCCATCTATTTCCAGGACTCAGGCTGTGAGTGGCATCACTTGTGTAGCCAAACGGCATCAGCCACACAGAAATGTGAGGTATCAACAGGTTTCAGAGAACGGAGCTTTGCTGAAATACGGTACATAGAGGGGGGAAAGTTAGAAAGAAAACCTTGAGGGTGGAATCCCAAACATGGACTGGATGTGCTCAGTTGTCACAGAACACTGACTGAGTATTGAGTGAGATGGGGGGAAGGAAGAACACATTGAGTGGGAGATGGAATGGAATGGAATACTGTAAAGAAGAGTATGACTAGAAGAAGAAGAGTTTGGATTTGATATCCCGCTTTATCACTACCCTAAGGAGTCTCAAAGTGGCTAACATTCTCCTTTCCCTTCCTCCCTCCCTCACAACATACACTCTGTGAGGTGAGTGGGACTGAGAGACTTCAGAGAAGTGTGACTAGCCCAAGGTCACCCAGCAGCTGCATGTGGAGGAGCGGGGAATCGAACCCAGTTCACCAGATTATGAGTCTACCGCTCTTAACCACTACACCACACTGGCTCTGACAGGGACAGGGAACAGAAGGTGTAGGAGTGTGGAATGCTTCTGTTCCCTGTTCCTGTCCACTAGTCATATCCTTTTTTATACAGAATTCCATTCCCTTCCCTTCCTAGACTGAGGAAGAAAATGGCGAGAGCTTGAAACTTGCTGATTCAGTCAAGCAAAGGAAAGGAGAGGACTGTTGGAATTTCCTTAGTATTATGGGATTGAAGCAATGAGCTGAGCAGAGGAGGCATAGGGTTAGTTTGGAGATTCCAGCTCCGCCCTGAACAACAATGGAAAATCAATAAAAAAGAATTGGCTAAAAAAAGAAGCATTCCACACTCCACAATTTCTTGCATTTCCCCCTTGTTCTCCAGTGGTTTTGTTGGACACCATTATTAAGGTTAAAGAGCTAGTTTCTAAAGCATTGAAATAATGTCCTGGGTTAATACACCTACTTGTATGGTGATTTGACTCACATTATCAATATTCACAAAATCTTTTTTAAAGATGGTTTAAAATGTTATTCAATAGCAGTAGTGGGGGCGGGGAGTGGGAAAAGACGTCAAGGTAAAATAGGTTACCAGTAGACACTTAAGGAGGAAAAACTCTTTAACAAACCAAACCAAATTACTTCAGCTGAATGCTTGTTTGTCAAAATCCCATTATTTCAAACTGAAAAGCAGTCCCCTCACCCCAGTTAGGATCTGTAATAATACCCCCAGAACTTTGAAAGCCACCCAACTAAATTGATCTCTAATAAAATAGATGTTAGAGGGTCTTTTCTCTCAGTCTGTCCTATTTTTATCTTACTTCTGGGAGTACCCATATAGTCCATAACTCTTCCTAAACTGGAAAGTGTTAATGGCATGGCCCAGTTTTTTGGTGGTTTTCTAAAGTGACCTGTCTTTATCAGTGGTGACCAAGAGATTCAAACCCTCAAGATAAAATTGCATTTGATCTTCTGTTATTGAACGTCAAGTGGAATATGGGGGGGGGGGTATATAAAAAGCAAATGCAGCTCTTTCAATTTTCTCAGGCCCATTGTAGTTGGACCCTTTGATTTAATCTTACATTTTCCCCTGAGCTTCCTTTTTTAAAAAAGATATAAGACAGTGTTTTGTCAGCTTTGTGTCTTTTACCATAGAAAAATTGGTCATTTTTCCAAGGTGGTATCAAGCTAATTTACTCTTTATATTTCATTATTAAAGTTGTAAAATATAATAGGCTATATCCTGTTTTCTGTGAAGAGCTTTTATTTTTATTATATCCTGATGCAGCTATATTATCCTCCCCATCTATCTTTTATTCAAGCACTATTAGGGATGCCTGTTTGAGAATCCCTTCGAATAGTTTGAGTGATCTCACAGGGAAACTCAGTTACAGTTTTAATGCTTGAATAGCATTGGAGCCAGTGTGGTGTAGTGGTTAAGAGTGGTAGTCTCGTAATCTGGGGAACCGGGTTCGCGTCTCCGCTCCTCCACATGCAGCTGCTGGGTGACCTTGGGCCAGTCACACTTATCTGAAGTCTCTCAGCCCCACTCACCTCACAGAGTGTTTGTTGTGGGGGAGGAAGGGAAAGGAGAATGTTAGCCGCTTTGAGACTTCTTAAAGGGAGTGAAAGGCGGGATATCAAATCCAAACTCCTCCTCTTCTTCTTCTTCTTCTTCTTCTTCTTCTTCTTCTTCATTCTCTTCCTCCCTCTCTTTTATCTTTTCGTGTTTGGACCAGCATATTCATTTATCAGTGGATTTAAGCACAGAGAACTAGCATATTGGAGCTGCTGAGGCATGAATCAAGAAATCATCAACACTTCAAATCATTCCTTAGGCAAATGGATAGGGAGCGTTTCCACTTCCCAATCACAAAAATACAAGAACCTGGGGAGCTCCAATGAAGTTGAAAGATTCAAGACAAACAAAAGAGTTTCTTCGAATAGTGATGTTGTGTGTTGATGTCCCCAAGCCACCCCTAAATAAATTCACACCATAATTTTTGGTTAAGGTTTTTGGCATAATTTTGGCCACAACTTTATTAAAATACAGGGACAGCACTGACATCCGCAATCCTGCGAAGTCAGTAAGGGAAAATATTTTATGGGGAGTAAATGGAGCTGGGTACCAGACCCTCACTTCTCCCCAAATGCTCCCAGGGGCTCTTGCGTGGCCCTATCCCCCTTTACAGGGGGGCAGACAAAAGCATGGTGAGCCCCTGGATTCCTTTAATGGAATACCCTTGCAGTAACAACATTGTGGGGGTAGGCACAACCAATCCACACGCCTCTACCAACCAATTTTTCTAGAAACCAATGCCTAACCGCAACCTTACAAGTTGTGAGGATTTGCAACTCAGTAGGCAAAAAACAAATGGCACCAGCCAATCGGCCAAATGGATAAAATTCCTACCAGGCCCATGCCCCAAAAGCAGGTGACCCCATGAGAGGCATAGCAACGTCAAACACAACAAACTCTCTAAAATTAATGGAGGGTGGGCAGGCGATCTGATGCACGCAGCGAAAAAGAGGACGCTCAATGCTGCGTGCAGGGAATATATATCAACCAAGGCTGTCAATCAATAATAGCAGCATCACACTCTCCCCAGCAACTCGAGGAGTCCAATCACACAGTGGGCCAACCAAACCAACTTGCCCAGCAACAGGGGGTATCTGGTTAACCCCACCGCAACCCGTGCTCTCCATGAAGGAGAACACGCTTTGTCATGACCACAAACTAACATGGCTTTAAAAGGAGCATCTTCACACACACACACACACACACACACACACACACACCATCATTTAGCCTGGACACTGAGGTCCACCACCAAGGACCTTCTGGCGGTTCCCTCACTGTGAGAAGTGAGGTTACAGAGAACTAGGCAGAAGGCCTTCTTGGTAGTGGCACCATCCCCATGGAATGCCCTGCCATCAGATGTCAAGACCTACACTACTTTTAGAAGACACCTGCAGGCAGCCATGTATTGGGAAGTTTTTTATGTTTGACGTTTTATTATGTTTTTATATGTGTTGGAAGCCGCCTAGACTGGCTGAGGCAACCTAGCCAGGTGGGTGTGGTATAAATAATAAAGTTGTTGTTGTTGAAAGGAGTTTAAACAAGTTCATGGAGGATAAGGATACCAATTGCTTTTAGCTCTGATGGCGAGGTATTACCTACAGGGTCAGAGGCTTCTGAATACCAGTTGCTGCGGATCAAACACAAGTGAGGAGAATGTGATTGCATTAATGTTCTGCTTGGGGGAATTATAGAGGCATCTGGTTGGCCACTGAGAGAACAGGATGCTAGACGAAATGGACTATTGCTGTGATTCAGCAGAGCTCTTTTGTTCTATAGCTAGTATATCTCAACCACAGTCTCCCACTCCCATTCTGCAATGTGACAATAATAATGTATCTAATTTGTAGGTTGTTTTATGCAGTGCCAGGTTAAACCCTGTGGATGCCCCTAGGCAGTGAAAATGCGAGAGGGGCTTGCAACTTATCTCCCAATACATTTTTGTAATTTTCCAAGATCAAATCAATATTATTTGGATCCATTGTTGTGGGGCCCTTAAAAGCTGTGGGACCCATAGGCCAGTGCTTACTCTGCCTATCTTGTAATCCAGCACTGGTTTTATGGATGCAACGAGATAATGAACATAAAATGTTGTCATTAGTGACCACATCAGAATATGATGTTATTGTTGGAACCACCATACGACAGAGCTGTAATGGCTACTCCTCCGGTCGTATCTTTGGAACCTCATCCAGGCTCTCCTCCGACGGTGATTAACGACCTAAGCCTTTGAATGAAGGCATGCTCTCCATTGCCCAGAATACTCAGACAGCAGCAGAAGGAGTCAGAATTATGTGCTACATTGCTACTTTATTTCTAACTACACAAGACAGAAAAGAATATGCGCCTGCTCTCTGTGAGAGACAGAAAACAACAGTACACAGAAACAGGAAACCAGTAACTTCAACATCCGTCTCCTGTGAGACTTCCAACAGTCTGGAATGTCAACAGAGTTTTGTGACTCCAAGAACTGCACAGTGACATAAACAGAAACGTAACACTTATATCAGCTGGATCACATAGACAAATACAGATAAGGTAGATAAATAGATTTAGATCATATAGAAATTCAAATATTTCACCAAAGATACCACCCCTTTTAGATGCTTTTACTCTTTCTCTTGTATGGAAAGCAATGTGTTGTTTGAGTTGGTCCAGAGATGGGAAACTTATGGCTTTCCATATGTTGTTGGATTCTAGGTCTCTCTCTCTCCCCCCCCCCACCCACCAACCATTGGCCATACTGCCTGGGACTGGTGGGAGGTGGAGTCTAACAGCAACTAAGCTATTCATCCCCATATTCTTATGGTACTTTCATTTTCAGAAGTTACAAAAAATGAACAATGCACAATTTCATCTAAAGATGATTACCCTCGTTAATGTTTAAACGGCACAAATCATTTTCAATATCTTTTCAGCCTCCACTTTTAAAGCATATATATGTATATAGATATAAATACACACACACACACACACACACACACACACACACACACACACTTAAGTTTTGCCATTTAAATAGCACAGAATTCCATCTCTGCAATTAGTGTTCAGAAAGAAATAGCATCTTATGATAAAATTACCCAACATCTATCACTCTGTAAAGCGAGTCAGATTATGTCTATTAACTTTGGGCGATTTTTTAAAGCTTGTGCAGCTCTTTGCTATATGACCTGCAGTTTTCTCCTATGCCAGCTTCATATGCATAAGAAAAAATGCAGTAAAACCTATTTTCCCTCAAGTCACTTCCCTCTGCCTTCTAATAATGACTTCTCCCCAAAGACAGAAGTATCATCCTTTGTAGTCCAAGATAATTTCCTTTCCTCAGCAGCTCAAAATGAAATCCTGCCTAAAATGATACAATTAGCTGCACAGCAGTGAAACCTGTGTACCTGCCCTCTCACCTTCCAGCCTGAAATGAGGGAAGGAACAGAAATGCCATTTTCCTAGCTGCAAAATTGCATTTTCAAGACAGAAGCATACCTCCCCAGAAAACCTTTCTGCTGAGGCTGATATAGAAATAGATGGTGACCAAGTGAAGATAGCAGTGTTAACACCATCAATCCCCTTCATATTATTGTGTTAGTGTGGGGTTCTCAGAACTCATTAGATATTTTAATTTGATTATGTCTCTTGAAAAGATAGGAAGCAGTTGACCTTCCAGAACTTGAGTCCTGTGCAGTAGTCCACATAAGCACTGACTGGGAACCTGTATATGTTGGGTGTGGAAGTGTCCAATGTTTCAACACATGTAGAACATGAGAAGAACCCTGATGGATCTGGCCAAACATTCATCCAGTCCAAGCAAATGCCGTAAAGAATCCCATAAGCAGAGCATGAAGGCAATAGTCCTCTTCTTCCACTGGTCCCCAGCAAATTACATTCAGGAATGCCACTGAAGGTTCTCCCACATCAGGTTCAAAAACAAACTTCAGGAGCTCTTGGCAGCCCAAGTTAAATGATAGGTGCCCCAGTCAAATGCGTGTGAGAGAAGAATTGGAGGCTCTCTGTCAGTCTGCTCTGAATCACACAATGCCGGCCAAGCCCTGATTCACCACAATAGTCTCCTCCCATTCCCCTTAAAGCCATAGTTGCCAGGACAGCTGTGACAGGAGAACAGGAGAAGGCTTTTCTTCCCCCTTCCCCAGGGTCCAGATTCATTAGTTCACTGATGTGCAGCACACCAACATGCCCAGTGACCCATATACTCTGCAGAGATTGCTTTCCAACTGCATAATGAGAAGGAAGTCCAGGGCGGGGGGATGGTTTCCATAACCAATGTGGGTTCAAAAGTGGTCTAAAACAGGGATGAGGAATTTGTGCTCCTCCCATTGTCTGCTGGGCACTAGCTCTCATCAACCACAGCCAGCAATGTCTAAAACTCCTGGTAGAGGACAATGATCTAGAGATTACGCTGAGGGTGGCCAAATTCTGTGGGACTGCCATAAAACTTAGGGAACAAGATGTACTACCAAAATGATTAAGGTTTTAAATGATAATTTTAGGCTATATTTTAGTGATCAAGATTTAATATATATTTTTAACTGCTGCTATATCTGAAGTGTCTCTGTTATACCCAATTGCAATTCAATGTATTCCTGTTGTGTTTTATGATTTTTTGTGTTTTATGATTTTCCTGATATTGTAAGTGACTGGTCTGTGACCATAATAATAAAATTCTAACCACAGCCAGCATTGTCGATTGTCAAGGTATGATGGGAGTTGTAGTCCAGTCACATTTGAAAGGTTGTAAGTTCCCCAACCCTGGTCTTCTTTGGACCTGGAAGCCTACACAGCCCAAATTCAGGAGGGGTGAGCAGTTGCCAGATAACTAGGAACTGTTTCAGAGAAGTGAAATGTCCTGTTTTAAATAACCAGCTGATCCCTGCTTCCCATTGGTGGCCTACATAAAGTAGCTGTGGCAGACACCACCTTATCATTTCAGCACCCACTCCATTGTCGCCCCATCATCACACATGATAGCATTTGAAACTTGCCAGGCACCAGGCACATTTTGCACCTGGCTATCAGCCACTTGTGACCAAGTGAAGATGCCCAGGTGCCAGGATGGTGCCTGACATCTCGACTATCTGGAGGTGCATGCCTGAGGATCCTTGGATCTTGGCTGTTTTCTCACACTAGCAACACATCCTGTAGAATTCGATCCCTTATATTTTATCTGCATGATCAGAACGAACTTCAGGAATGAAAAAGTCATGTTGAAAAATATGGCTGTTGAGCCATCTGGTCCCCAAAAATGGAAACTAGGCATTCCGTTTGGCAACTGTAACCCTGGTTTAAGAAGCCATTTGGAGCCAAGCTTATATATCTGAGTTTCTAACATTGCCCATGATACAGCAGGAAAGGAAGGGAACATTCCTAGGCTGTCTAAGGCTGATATGTATCAACCCTTAGGTCCAGTTTTCCCAGACCTGATCTAGACAAAAGTTATTCATCCTGTCTGTTTACTCACAGGTACATCTTGTTTGTTCTCATTGTACTTTCTTCTTAAGTAAGCTTAGAATGGCTCTCAATTGTAACAAGTGAGCATTTTTGTGGTTCTTTTTTAAAAAGCTGTTCTCTGCCACTGAAGGAAGAAGGGCTTGATCTATGCAAATGTCTGGCTCGTATCCTCTTCATGAAAAAGAAGTCACTTCTTTCTTTTATTCCTTAATTCAGCTCTCTTTACATGGTAACTTTAAAAGACCATAGAGTGATGATGAAACAGTGGGTCCTCTGAGTATTGCTGGGGTCAGGATTTTGCTGCCAGCTTTGAGAATTAAAGCAAGGTGGTCCTCTATTCCTGATTAAAATATTCCAAGCCTATGCATTTATCAGCAGTGTCTGTGGGAGAATATCAGCAATTGCTGTCCCATGAGATGAATATTTACTTTGGCTACAATTTTATCTCTCAGATCAATAAAGTTGATGGTTGCACCTCAGTGGAATCAATACCCTCTTATTATAAACATATATAAATTGCTCTTTTTACTGATTAAAATAAACTAGGGCAAACAGTAGCAAAACCTCGGATATGTTGCAGAATGATGGGGGGGAAATCATGAATACCACCATGTAATTCTTGACCTTTTGAGATGTGGGTTGGTGGTTACAACATGGTGAGATTAATAGGAAGGTACTTTTGGCAGGTACAGACAGATCTGAGGCCCCTGGGAGTGGAGCCCTCTTCATCTCTACAACAACAATAACAAAATGTGTTACGGTTTATTTCAGTTTTGCTGGTTCTAATACTAGCATTTCCATCCCAATTTCTAACATTTCTTTTATACTGCAGTACCTATTGTGTTACGGAACTGTGGCTTTTTCATCAATATACTGACATGTCATCCTAAATTTCAAACAGCGGGAAAGGACTGCATGCTGGGATACCAGCCAAAATTTCATCACATGACAATACTGTGAAAAACTCCTGTGATTTTCTGAGTTAACAGGATTGCAATCTTTTTTTTCTTTTCTGGAAGCAATTAACATGGAAATTAGTGCTAAACTTCTGCCAGATCCAACTAGCCTTCCAAAAGTGGCGTTTACATTTTGTGAAAGATCACATAAAATGTGGAATTTACTGGGCAATTTAATGGAATAAAGTGTCCCCCCCCCATACACATCCATATTTTTCCCCATTTTGCTTAGTAGATGCCCATGTATGATGTGAAAGAATCTCATATCTGTTTCTCAATCCAATACAATCATCTCAGACCCTCCAAGTATCCCTATTTTCGAGGGACAGTCTCGGACTTACAGAAGCCATCCCAGTTTCTGAGTTGATCCCAAAATCAAGGATGTCCCTACTTTTGTTGTAGAAATGTTGGAGAGCATGGAATTATCCAACCCGTGAGCCATCTGAAGGCAGCCCTGTATAAGGACGTTTTTCAATTGTTTAATGTTTTGTTAGGTTTTTATATATGTTGAAAGCCACTCAGAGTGCCTGGGGCAACCCAGGAAGATGGGCAGAGTATAAATAGTAAAATTATTACTATGGAATAGGAATTTTGATCGGAGAAATGTCGGAGGGTATGTCATCTAGAACAGGGCTCCCCAGACTTTAGGACCATGGGCACTTTTGCAAATTGGAGAGGCAATCATCTCTTCACCCTGTTTCAAATGCCCACAGTTTCAAAACCTATCACTAAACAGCAACTGCAAACAGTTACTCCATCATATTAGTCCACATCATATATGGGCCAAAGTTTGACCAGGCCTCAAACCTTGACAGTGACACTCTAACAACAAAAAAGGTCACAAAAATCTTTTCCAAAGCACAAAGCACAACAGAACCAAATCAAGGTCTCGAAAATATTAAAAATGCAGATATAATTTTGTGATGTCTCATGGCAGCCAATGATTTGGCACTTCTTACAGACCCAAGATACTCCTGAGTATAATAGGATGAAATAGCTCTGCGGGAACTGCTGCCATGTTCTCTTCAGTAAACAAGCAGCATTTTATGAAATACCAATAGGCAATACCCAAGTGTGCACTGCAGACAATGTCCTTACAAACAAATCATTATGGCCTATTGAGCAAGCAGAATACATATTGAAAAGGCTCTGAATGTGATTTACATGAAATATATTATACAGGCAATGGAGGGAGGGGGGCTTACCGGGTCCCGTCTCTGTGAAGAGCAATTATTTTTGAAAAAGTTGTTCCACGCATAAATGACTTGATAGGCCACCATTCTTTCCAACGGGAGGATAAAATTGATATAAGAAAATGAGGGAAAGATTTTATGCGATTCTAATCTTCCCTCCTCCTCTCCCTTCTCTTTCATATAGGATCAACTACAACAAATCATTTGCAAGAAAGCTGCTAGCGATAGCAGGCTGAAAATGCAGCCCTTAAGTTCTGTTCTTGAAGCTTGATTTATAATTCCTTCGTTGTTTGATACCGATTTACAGTGAAGACAATCATGGAGTGGTGGTGATGTCAACAACGCCATCCAAGTTTCGTCCCCTGTCAAACCCAGTATGATTTGGGAGCAGGCAACATTTGTGCCTTCCCTAGGAGAAACGCAAGGGCATAGGATGTGTATACATTCTGGCTGTGGGTGAGGCTTGAAGGCCTTTAGAAGACTGTGTAACCCCTGGCCAGATCCTCTTTGGATCTCCACATAGCTAGGAAGCTGATCCAGTTTTGGGGATGAAATAGGTGGAGGTGCAGCAGCCTCTCCTGCTGGTCTGGCACTTAAGAGGCCTTCTCAGCCATTAGAGAAGGCACCTAGACTGTGTAAGCCAAAGCTTTGTTGGGTGAGGGCCCAGCTGCCAGAAGTAAGGTGAAGCCATTCCTCCTCTTCCACCTTTGCCCTCACCGCTGCAACTGTGCCCTCACCACTGCTGTTGCATCGTGGCATCAGTGTGGGCACAGCCACAGAAAGGAGTGCCGTTGTGGTGGTGAGGCTGACGGCAGTGTGGGCACAATGGTGGGGGCAGCAAAATGTCTTGGGCCAGTCCTGCCAGCTGCAGAGGTTGTACAGCCAGCGTGCCAGTTTTTTTACCAGTAGAGATACAGCGGTACCTCAGGTTAAGTACTTAATTCGTTCCGGAGGTCCGTACTTAACCTGAAACTGTTCTTAACCTGAAGCACCACTTTAGCTAATGGGGCCTCCTGCTGCTGCCGCGCCGCCAGAGCACGATTTCTGTTCTCATCCTGAAGCAAAGTTCTTAACCTGAGGTAATATTTCTGGGTTAGCAGAGTCTGTAACCTGAAGCATATGTAACCTGAAGCGTATGTAACCTGAAGTGTATGTAACCCGAGGTACCGCGGTACGTTTAGGAGACAATATTGCAGATAATTCAACAATCGCATTAGAAACAAATCAATATTTTGCCTGCTTCTACCTCTTGTTGCAGACCTCATCTGTTCCCATCCTGCTCTTTCCCCCAGCCCTTAGAAATTTCTCTCCATGGTGTGACAGCCAATCTGTTTTCAGTTTGTATGAAATGTCCCCTAGACATATTCACACAGAATAAATAGTGGGGGAGAGGGGGGGAGAGGAAAGGCTCTCAGTCGATGATCAGCAGAGGAATGGGAAATCAGGAGCAGAATTTCCCTCCTCTTCTATGGCAAAGTTTGCTGAGTGATACAGAACATTAATTTTGTTGCAATAAATTTACTCATTCCTAGAGAGACCAATTGCTAACATGCCAGTAGGCAGATATATTTGGGGTTAGTGTGAGTAAAAAGTCATCCTGGGGAATCATGTTTCATTACCCTTGCTTGTTGATGAGTGCAGGGCTGCCAGAAGCAAACCAATGAATGTGAATAGCTCTAGCAAGTACTTAAAACATATACCTCTCGTCCTATAGGTTTTCCCCACATGATTCCGCTTACTAGCAGTTGTTTATACTGATTAAACAACTTCATTTCTGCCCTGACTCTTCTTTGCATGACATTACAGCCCGTGTCATGATAGATGCCTATAAACCCTGGCAGAATATTTCATTTGTTCTGAAATGAATGCACAGACCTAAGATATGGCTTGATGCCTGTTTTCTACCTTAGTTTCAGGGGCATATCTTGCAACTAGGGATGGCATTGTCTGAAAAAATCTCATTGTCAATCTTATCCACATATATATTTTCTCATTCCTGTCTCACTCCCTGATCTCAGCGAGAAGTGAGGGATTTCACTACCACCCCTGTTCCTCTAAAAATAGGAACAATATCCACATAATATTATACACATATTTTAAACATAAAGATTCCAGGTTTCTTGTAGTAACAAACACATAAACACACACACACACATTATATACACACACACATACACACAATCATGCATATAACTATATAAGAACACTTATAAAATTATGTTGTGGAAATGCTGTACAGGGCTTGGCTCTTTTATGCATATTATAGTATAAAATGCATATTTTGTATATAATTTGTAAGTAATTAGTCTTTTTTTAAAAGAAGAAGAAGAAGAATGCATGAGCAACGTAAACATAAGCAGGAGAACAACACAAGAGGTGGTCCAATTCGAGCACAACTCTATGGGGTCAGAACTGCCAAATTCTGGGTACTGCATTTTCTGGCGTATAAGACTACTTTTTAACCCAGGAAAATCTGTTTAACCCAGGAAAATCTTCTTCGTCTTATACAGCAGCAGCTCCTGCAGCAACTCCCCACCAAAGGACAAAACGACAGCAAATTGAATCAGAGGACATCAAGCTCTCTAGATGAAGCAGAAATACGCTTGAAAATTGCCCCCAGAAGCCCCCCCCCTCCAATCACTGGCAACAGAATGACCCTAACCGCTCCCGGTAGTAGACCACGTAGTCCAAGATGGTGGTCTCGCAATGGTGTGCGTTGGAAGAGGGGTAGTCTTATACAGCGAGTATGTCCCAAACTCTATATTTTAACTGGAAAAGTTGTGGGTTGTCTTATAGGCCCAGTCGTCTTATACGCCGGAAAATATGGTGTGTGTGTGTGTGTGTGTGTATGTGTGTGTGTGTGTGTGTGTGTATATATCCATTTGAAACAGATTCTTCCTTAATCCCTTCTTGTAGCTCATTTTTTCCCTAGGAAAGCAATACAGATGGTTCTGGGGGAAGAAGGTCTCACAGGTATATTGCTACATTCCGGGGGGGGGGGGGAGTGGACTATATGAGCCTCAGTGTCCTTTCCAACTCTACAATTCTATGATTCTAAGAAAATAAGTCAATGTAAGAAGGTGGAGGGATAATCTTGGTTTAACCTCTTGAAAATCTGCAGCTCTGTGTTGATACACCTGGTACAGCCAGCTGGTCTATCTCTCTCTCTCTCTCTCTCTCTCTCTCTCTCTCTCTCTGTGTGTGTGTGTGTGTGTGTGTGCATCATTACCCCCTTTGCTCACCCACCCCTTTTCTTGTTTTTTAATCATTTGGAGTTGCAACCTCATGGGTTTCAGAAGCCCAAATGGCATCAGCCAGAAGTGTGGTAGTTAGTGCAGAATACTCACAGCAGAGATTCCGTAGGCATCTCTTGAATACGGTGGTACCTTGGGTTATAGATGCTTCAGGTTACAGACTCTGCTAACCCAGAAATAGTACCTCGGGTTAAGAACTTTACTTCAGGATGAGAACAGAAATCGCGCGGCAGCGGCGCGGCGGCAGCGGGAGGTCCCATTAGCTAAAGTGGTACCTCAGGTTAAGAACAGTTTCAGGTTAAGAATGGACCTCCAGAACGAATTAAGTTCTTTTAAATAATTTTTATTAACTGACCAATCAAATCAAATCAAATCAAATCACATAAATTCCGAATTGCAAAGCCGAATTTTAAATTTTTGTTGAGGGGACCCATATTTCAAGTTCCGAAGGGGGATTCCGATCATCTTCTTGCTGCTGCGTTAATATCCAAATCAGTCCAAATAAAGTTCATAATTCTATCCAGTCTTATCTTGCTGTTTCCACATCTCATCTTGTTCTTTTTCTTTCTTTCTTTCTTTATGATCTCTTCTGATAATCTCCTTAAGCAGATAAACCCCAAATGTGAATTTTTCCGCTGTGTGAATTTTTCCGTTCGTCCAATTCTCATATCGAGATGGTTTCCATATATCATCGCTTTCGTAAATAACATCACTCTTTCCATCATTTATCTCGCAAACTGTCGTTCTTAAGTCCCTCTAAGGAGTCTCACACACAATACAAAAGCAACTCTATTCCTCCTCCCAGACTCAAGTCCTCCGACAGAGCTTGCCAACACGGCGACGGTATTTTTAACTGCGTCATTCCAAAGCTCTTATGCATTCCATGGTCTTCTTAAAACATGCTTTGGTTAGAAACTTTATCTCCACACAGTCTTAAATCCACAGCTTAAGTCATTAAAACGACATTTCTGACTTGTGGGGGGGGGGATTCTTGTTTAATCACATAGAGGAAAGAAAGGAAAGTTTTTTCCCCTCCCCCATCAGTCCCTTTGCCATACCGAGTCTTGGCGTATCTTCTCATGATTTATTCTTGTTCCTCCGACTCGTCTTGTTTATCAGAGATCTCTTCAGTTAGCAGTCTTTACTCCCCCTCCTTCCTTGAAATATGTGCATTCGCTTCCTCCTAATTGCTTCTTTTGAAGTTCTTGCAGCTAGTGGCGCGGATCAGAGACGGCGTCCAGGAGCGCCGAGATCCCACAGGAGGGCTTTCTGCCTAGTGCCCCCATCCCCACAAATTCGGGGGTGGTATAGGGCACAGCAGGCAAAGGCAGCCCCCCCCCACAACCTTGGGGGGGTAGGGAGGCTATTTACTCCCATCACAGCCTCCTAATTACCTCGTGTGGGTCGGAGAGATGTTATTGTCAGCCATCTTCCGATGCACCCCTAGTGGCCCCTCTTAACCCGAGGTACCACTGTACCATCTTTTAAAATACTCACGAACCTACTCAGTTTGTTATCATTTTTTATGACTATTTTGCCTTATTTGTATATACACTGAGCCTCTTAGGCTTGCCAATCAGAAGGTTGGCGGTTCAAATCCCCATGATGGGGTGAGCGCCCCTTGCTCTGTCCCAGCTCCTGCCAACCTAGCAGTTTGAAAGCACGCCAATGTGAGTAGATAAATAGGTACCACTGTGGAGGGGAGGTAAACGGCATTTCCGTGCGCTCTGGTTTCCATCACAGTGTTCCATTCTGCCAGAAGCGGTTTAGTCATGCTGGCCGCATGACCCGGAAAGCTGTCTGTGGACAAATGCTGGCACCCTCAGCCTGAAAGCAAGATGAGCGTCGCAACCTCATAGTCATCTTTGACTGGACTTAACCATCCAGGGGTCCTTTACCTTTTTTTATTATTATTATTTGTAACTATGGTTGTACACAGACTTGCTATTTTATGAGTGGGTAAGATACATTTTTTTTAAAAAAATGTACTAGAATGACTGAACTACAGATTCCACAATGCAGTGAGAAAGGAAACAGGCCTGAAGTTATGTTTACTTGGGAGTAAGTTCTATTGAATTCTATAAGGCTTCTGAGTGAGTAGACATGCCTAGGTTTGTACTGAAAGTTTGGGTAAACAGAACAGAGTCTGGTTGAGAGACAGCAGAGGAGAAAGGAGGTATGAAGGATGCTATTTTATGATGTCTATATTTAGTTTCACCTGCTTAAGACAACAGGATGATGGTTCATAAATAAATCTCTCTCTCTCTTTTAATGTGTTACTGGTGTTGTTGAGCTGTCCTTGTAAGGATGGGAATGCTTTTCTAGATTCTTGCCTGGACTTGCAGGGGGAGAAATTCAGTTTAGTTCACATTTAAAGGCAAACCTACCTTATTCACACTTGGCAAAATAATACAGAAACCTAAGCACCACCATCCTTTGAAGTTCATATTTTTCTGAATTTTGGAATGCAGTTCTGCAGCCAAGTGATGTGTTTAAAAAAAATGAATACGCTGGGGTAAAGTGTGCATAAAATATGTACATCCATAAAAATAACATAGAAAAAGACATTATATTAGGGAAAGTTGCTTCCAAAACTTCTATTTAAATTGCATATAAAAAACATGTGTATATTGGGATAAATGCGCACTAAAGTACTGGTGAGTTTTATTTAAAAATAAATAAATTGCAAACTGATCTAAAATTGTGGAGAACTGACTAGAAAAGTGAGAAAATGGGAGAAACCAAAATTCAGATATGCCCATCCCAGCTAGGTAAAAACTTAAACAAAGTTAAGTTCAGATTAAAAGAACAGGTTTGTTTAATTCAATATAAAAGAGAGAGGAAGAAAGAAGTAGTAGCTTTTTAAATAAAGCAAGCCTATAACCACTCAGCAGCTCTAGAAGCTGACAAATATGACATGTAATATAGCATAGATCTCTCAAACAATTCATTAAAGATATTCAACAGGGCGACAAAGGATATTTGAAACCTTACAACTTTACTCTTTTTCTCACAAGGCTGGGTTGGGGATGTATGTTAGAAGCAAGAGGATTCACCAGTCAGGGGCAGTGAGCTTTCCTTGGCACCATCACACACACAGAAGGGAATATGACTATTAACATTTTTCTGCAAAGTGGTACAAGAAGTATGCAATTCCTCTGGATTTTTCTTGTCAGGCAAACAGGGGTGGCACATCTCCTATGGATGTGAGATAGATGCTTTGCTTGTAAGTTCGTCTCTCCTAGTTAATGAGGTGGAGAGTTTCTGAGTACAGCTGAGTTCTCCTGAGGAATTTGTATTGTGAGGTGGGGGGCAGCTATTTGCTTCAACAAGCTATTGTGAAGCTATTCTGAACAGACCAGGTGAACAGACCATTTGGGGCCTCTTCTTCATGCCATGAAACTGGATTAATTGTGAGATCATACCTGATCAAATCATTATTTTCACTGGTTGCAGTGGAAATGGATGGGTACACAATCACAACTCAGAAACCTTTTTGGTTTATTTAGGACATTCTCCTACAACTGTTGTTGTTGTTGTTGTTATATCCCACCCTTACTTTTCCCGCCCTGACCTGGCCACAGTGATCCATGCGACGGTCACCTCCAGGCTTGACTACTGTAATTCACTCTATGCGGGCTGTCCTGGAAGCTGTCCCAGAAACTCCAGCGGGTGCAGAATGCTGCAGCGAGGCTCCTCACAGGGTCTCTGCCATGGGAGCATATTCACCCAGTGTTTTTCCATCTGCACTGGCTCCCGGTGGAGTACAGGGTCAGATTTAAGGTGCTGGTGTAGCCTTATTGGAGTTCACCGATTGGGTCTGCGTTGCTCCGGGACAGGAGGAAGGAAGTCAAATGACACTGAGTTGGTTCAAAGAAAGAGTTTATTCTGCTCTCCGGATAGCAGAAGGCACTTGCGTGATCAAGTCCACAGCAAGTCCAAAGAAATGAGAAGTTTCATGCAGTATATATATCCTCCAGACACCCTCTCCCCCTTCCCCAATCACATCAGCTTGTATACGCAGGTTGACATCACATATGTTCCTGCTCTGGTACTCTTAACCATAAAAGGATCTTCCTTCCTGTACTTCTGACCATAAAAGGATCTTCCTCTTCCTACTCTTATCTGGGAAGAGGTCATAATCTCCGGGAACACGCTTTTGGCCACGTATCGGTCCCCACGTATTTTGTGGTGAGCACATAAGATAAAGTATTGATGTGTTTTCTTTGTTCCCCTAAAGAGTCAGGGTCATCCCTTGCTGTGACTGATAAAGGAGAGAGCTTGTTTATGCAATTGTGTCCTTATTTTGCTTTTGCTCAACAGCTCAAGTTTTACGCATTTTAAAATGCTCTCTTTTGAAAGAACAAAAAGGGGGGGTTGAGTCAGTTTTAAACTTGCTACACAGAAACCCATTCCTTCACTGGTTTTGACCTTTAAAGCCTTTCACGGCCTAGGACCCTCGTACCTACGGGACCGCCTCTCCTGGTATGCCCCATGGAGGACCTTAAGGTGTATAAATAGCAACACCCTAGAGGTCCCAGGCCCTAAGGAAGTCAGATTAGCCTCAACCAGAGCCAGGGGCTTCTCAACACTGGCTCCAGCCTGGTGGAACGCTCTGTCTCAGGAGACCAGGGTCCTGTGGGATCTGATTTCTTCCCGCAGGGCCTTTAAGACAGAATTGTTCCATCTGGCCTTTGGCTTAGAATCAGTTTGATTCCCTCCCCCTCTTTCTTTTTCCTTTCTCCTCCTGTGAAGAGGCTGCATCCTAATGTTTTAATGTTGTATTTTAATCTTTTTAAAATTGTATTTTAATCAACTTGTTTTTATTATTGGTTGTTAGCCGCCCTGAGCCCGGTCTTGGCTGGGGAGGGCGGGGTATAAATAAAAATTTGTTATTATTATTATTATCACTGGAGGATTAAAATGTGAATACAAAATAGCAGACAACATTCTATTTTGGCATACAAAATGGAAAGTTTTGGTGCAGAAGGGGAAAACTATTTCAATATATTTTACTGAAACATTTCCCACTCTTTTGTGATAACTTTGGATAATACATAATAATCCTACTTCTTCATGAACATATAAGTCATTTTCAAATCATCTCTAGCAGACTTATTATGATCAAATCAAATCAAATCAAATCAAAATGTTTATTCGGCTTTACGCCCATCATAAAGCACAACACACAAAACAAATCAAATAAAACAGCGGTCTCGTACAAGCCACAAGTAATATAACACAATTCACAGCTCACAAGGACAAATATTGGCAAATCAAAACAGAAATTTAAGATTAAAGTTAAAAATTTAGGCACTACGCTAAAATCAATATCTGATGTCAATATCAAAAATTCTTATAACTATCAATAATCAGCTAACATTCCATTCCGTCTCTTGTACGAGAGAACGGCTGTTAGGAATTTAGCAACCTGTAGAGTAATATAAGGATCTGCATCTTGAAGAACCCAGGCAAGCTGTAGGTCTACTGGTTTGTCAGCCATAGGCTGGATTATGGAGTTTAGTATACTAGCGCGAGCTGAACTGTACATAGGGCAGATAAACATAACATGATGTAAAGATTCAGATGTTTTCATTTCACAAGCACACATTGAAGGGACTTGGCCCTTAGTGAATCTATGTCTCAGCACGTTTGTTGGAAAAACATTGAACCTGGCTCTAATGAAGGCATATCGGTGAGATGCGGCTATAAGCGATGTTAAGTAGGACGGAGCACGATAGATAGGGGTTATGCCGAGATTTAACGGGGAGCAGGCTCCACCACCAGCTAAGAAATTTTGGTATAGCTCCACATCATCCAGCCTTTGATTTATACACCTTTTTGCCGCGTTTAGATCCAGTTTGAGCAATTCCGTGGGCGAGATCTCATAGGACAGCAATTTGGCATGGATTTTTCCTGACCACAAATTTGTGAAGTCATCCCGCCACATGCATTGAATGAGATAATGGTTCGGTAGTTTATGCCATAGGGATATCCAATAAATCAAAACTCTCCTCCATAAAACTAACTCCACTGAGGGGATCTTCATTTCTAAGCGAATAGCCGCATTACTTACGCATGTTGGTAGTTTTAGAAGTCGGCGTAAGAATTGGCTTTGAAGCGACTCTAAAGGTGAGAGGTTTGCAAAAGCAGCCCATAAAGGTGCAGCATAGGCCATTGTGGCCATCACTTTAATGCTATACACTTTCAAGGCCGCAGGGATGAATAAGGCCCCCTCAGAGTAGAAAAACGGAGGAGGGAGTGTGATAGGGCTTTTGTCTTGTTTTGAAGATATTCAACGTGCGCTTTCCACCCTAGATTATATTGAAAATAAATTCCTAAATATTTAAATTTGTGTACTTGTTCGATTTTCGTGCCCTCCAATTTCCATGAATATAATTTTCGACTCCTTGAAAATATCAGTACTTTGGACTTGGTGTGGTTGATAGACAGATGATTAGAACGGCAATATGATGCAAAAATCTTTAGTGCCCTCCTTAAACCCACTCTGGAGTAAGAGAGTAGTACCGCATCATCTGCGTAGAGAAGTAAAGGACAACGATAATCTGCTATACGGGGGGTGTGGATAAATTTTTGTGAGTCGATTAATGGGTTCCTCATATCACTGATAAATAAGTTAAAAAGAAGAGGCGCTAAAATACAACCCTGGCGTACACCCTTATTTACTGGCACTGGGTTAGTTAGGTCTCCAGCAGGGGATATTCTTACCCTGGCCACGGATCCGGCATGAAGTTGGGAGATAAGCCACAGGAGCCTTCTATCTATTCCCCAGCAGGCAAGTTTATCCCATAGTAATTGCCTCGGAATACTATCAAACGCAGCTTTCAAATCTATGAAGGCTGCGCAAAGTTGGCCCCGTCGAGGTGTCGAGTATTTCCGGGCTAAGTGATAAAGAATAATTGCCTGATCTGTTGTGGATCGATTTAATCTAAATCCGGCTTGCTCATGCCCAATCAGGTCAGCCTCAGCTGACCACTTCATCAGCCTTGCAAGGTATATACGGGGTTTTATTTTCCGAATGGACGATAGCAGACTGATATTCCGGTAATTCCCTGGGTCACCGGGAGGGCCTTTTTTGTAGATAGGAATTATAATGGCCTCCTTCCACGTACCTGGTATTAAGCCCGTGGCATTTATTGCGTCAAACGTTTTAGCTAAAATCCCTGCCCACCATGCAGAATGTAGCTTTATAGCCTCAACAGGGACCAAATCTGGCCCAGGGGCCTTACCAGTTTTCAGCTCAGCTATCAATTCTAGGATTTCAGCAGGGTCGGTATTGTGCCAGACGGGAAGGGGATTAGAAGGTCTCCAGTGAGTGGCCGGAGCTTCTGCCACTGAGAAATATTTTCTCAGGAACTGCTCCCATGTAGGGGCCGGGATCACCGTTAAGGGGTATTTCGTGTTTCTTCCCTTAATTAAGGACCAAAATTTCCGGGAGTTATGAGATTTTGAGGCAGAAATTATAGTCTGCCAGCGATTTAAATGCCATTCCCGTTTGGCCGATTTCTGGGCCTGTTTGTATGCTTTTTAGCCAGGGAATAAGATGGAGGTAAGGCCAGAGCGCCGGAAAGTTTATAGTCATTATATATTGTATGTAGATGGAGTCTGGCTAGTTTACAAGCAGAGTTGAACCAAGGGGCGCCAAATTTAAAATAATCGTTTTTAACTCCATAGCTTGGAGAAGTAAAAAAGCGAGTTAAAACTTCTATCAGGCAAGAGAAAAAATTCATACAGGTAATAGGATCACGCGGGACTATTCCTACGTCCGGCTGATCACCAAGAAACTTTTCTCGGATAAAATCCGTATATCTATGGGCGAGGGCAGGGGACCATCTAATCCCCTTTATTTTAGTGGACGGCTCCGCAATCACCGGGATTGGGTGGGAGCGCTCGAGCAGGTGCCAGTCAACACATAACTTGGTTGTCAGGGGAAGATGGTCACTAAATTGGGCATTATCAATTTTAAAAGAGGTGACATTCAAAAATAGATCCCGGGAAACCAATACATAGTCAAGAACACTGTTTGATTTTAACCCCAGATGGGTGAACTCTCCTGGTATATCTGGAGGACACCTGCCATTTAATATAATTAAATTAAGGCGTAAAGCCATCTGGTAAAGCATCACTCCCGCCTTATTGACTTTTACATCCTTTGATATTCTAGTGGGGATATATACTAGATCGTAGGTTTGAGCGCCGGGGTCGACCCACCATTTAGACTTTATAAGAGCCTCCCGATTTGAGGCTATCCGAGCGTTAAAATCGCCTCCGGTAATGGAGGGGACATTAGGATATTTAAGATAACAAGAAAGTAAAAATCCTCTAGGGATTCCCATCTAGAAATAAGATCAGCTGCTAACCCTCCCGGGGGGAAATAGACATTTGTAACCAATAAAGAGAAGTTTCCACCAGAGATCAGTCCGGTAATAGCATAAGGCGGAAATGCGTGCACTAGTGAAAGTTTAGCCCGAAGTTTAAGGGAGATACCAATTGTAAGGCCACCTTTAGGGCGGCCACCATTCGTTGACGGGCTAGCAGGCAGACATATAAACTCAAAGCCATTTAACTCAATTTCCTCCTCCACCCAAGTTTCTTGTAATAGTATGATAAAAAAGGAATTAATATATTTTTGGAATTCTGGATCTGATTTTTACTTTTCCATCCAGCAATGTTCCAACTTAATATTGAAGGCTGGGGTTTCCTCGTTCCTCCAATTGACTGTCATTCGGAAGGTTGGCTCAACTTTAATACGGGAAGAGGGGAGCCAATAAAAAAATCAGTTATCTTCCTCTGATGAAAAACCTCTCGTAAAAGCTGAGTGGGAGGATTTACAAGGTTGTCTGTCTGTTGAACTTGGCCACTCGATCTACTAGGAGTAGGACCTTGAGCAGGGGCGGCCCCCTTTTCCAAAA